ATTAATTTGGAATTAACTAAAACATAAAGATTTGACCACTTTGATGATTACAAATCTATCATACATTTAATCCCAAAATAAATACAATTCTGAGCAAAATACACACACATGTTGTAACTGTGCGTATTAGTTAAATGAGACTAAATTCCCTTAATTCTAATCACATCATATATAAATATAATCATTGACAATATTGCAACCAATTACATGTCAAATTGAATTTTAGGTACAGGAAGGTTCTTAATTTCATTTCAAGCAATTCCAAATTGAAAACAATTCCGAGAAGCACAGCGAAAACATAATAGCACGATTCCAATTAATTTCCAATTGAAATTGAAATTCACAATGAAGAAAATGATTCGGCAATTCCATTTAAATTCAATATATATATATTTTAAGCAATTGATAACAATCCATAATATGATGGTTCTCGTAACAGGATCGATTTTAAGGGACATTTCAAATTGAAACCATTCTCAATATGCACAACAAAAAATATGGTTCTTGACCCATTTTCGATTAGAATTAGGATTCATAAAATTGGAAAAACATCATTAATTAGTGGAGAATCATAAATTTCACAAAACATGTTCTGATACCACATGTAAGTTGTAGCCTTCATATATCATTCACGATTTAAGAAAACTACTGCATACCATAAAGATCTTAGAATTTATGATTCTCACATACATTTATAATAGTAAGAAAGACTTACCTTGATCCATGACAACTGTAATGAGAATAAGTTCTTCAATCACATTTTCCCAATCTATCTCTTTCCATGCTTCATATTCTCACATCACTTTCTTTGATGGTAAAACAATGAGAGATGTTTCATATGGCAGAGATAGAACTCAAATAGTTCCTCTTATTCAACTAACTTCCATCAAGTTAGTTATCAGCAGTTATAAATTTTGAAAATAATAACTTCCCATATTTGTCAATAAGTCCTTTTATTTTATTAAATCACGTTTAAGCTCTTAATTCACATGAGTCACATTATAGTGTTATTTAATATTTTCTAACAAGAACCCGTTATATCTTGGGGGACTTGCGGATCACGCGGATAAGTCCTTAAGGACAGTACCATCACACGTCTCAGGTTATTGTTAATTTTTGTGATTGTATAATTTTCATATCAGATAGAAGATTCTTGTTCGTGATGAATGTGAAGATGGACAACAATGTACAACAAGCATATCACTAAGAACCAATCCCCCTTAAGCAGATCTTCAGTTATTACTACACTACAAAATTGAGGCAAAATAAAGCTTGCTACCCATCACTTGAACGAGAATGCATCATGTGAAAATGACAAAAAGAGAGTAAAGTACTGTACAGACTTAAAAAAGTACAACATTATAGAATTATAATAAGATGATGATAAATTTAGAAGCTTGAAACTATGAAGTGATGTGTGTGCCTAACATTGTTCTTAGAGCTACTACCATCAGTTAATTTATCAAAAAGGTAATGTGATACATCAAATTGCAAAACACCAAGCAGTTTGTTATGAACAATTTTACATGGTTATATTGAATATATTTCTCTTGGCATGACCCAATGTGAAAAAGCAAACTGCAAAACACTGTAACCTAACCAAACAACTAATTATATTAGCAAGAAATTATAATCCAATTTTCTTAGCCTCACACATATGCTAGTAAACCTTCGATAAAAATTCCATATTAAGCAAGAGAACTATATATATACTTAAAGTACGAACAGTTTAACTTTAATAACATGCTTAAAACACAAGTTGATATCTGTATCTCTGCACATATAATAATCACACAGACAAAATCATCTAGATGTGCGGCTTAAACATTCTTTTTTTTTTAAACAAAGGATATAAATGGTGAACAGAGGCTTACCCTTACCCTGTGTCGAGTCTTCTTATGAGTGGTGGAGAGGAAAAAAGGAAAGAGATACCATAAGGCAAACTCATTGAAAGATGCATTAGGACAATATTCATCAATTAGAAGAATGCCTTAGGGAAATCTCTATGAGAAGGAGATGTTGTGGGTGAGAGAGACTGATCTTCTCATCCACATTCAATTGAGTGAAAAATTAACATTGATAATGTCTGATAGATATTTTATGAAAATTTTTATGTCTGTTTAAAAACATTGAAATTGTTTGACTTGAAGTATATATCTTGTAGAAATGTATACAACGAAAAATATTCTATTTTTAATATTAAACTTATTCAAATAGAGATGCAGCAGACATGTCCCACTTTTTTTTAATTTTATTTTAGGCATTTCCTTTGGTGCAAGTTTTGTTTAGGGGGTGCCAAAACTTTCTGTGACTAGGACCACATAAACGATGACATGTGTTAATTTTGTCAGAACTTATATTTTTTAAGAATGTTTTAATATTTGCTATTTAACCCTCATTAATTTATAACATTTTAAATAATAGCCTCCGGCCTATTTAAATATGTTTTATCTTCTTCATCTCCCTACCCGTTTCATTTTCATTTTTTCTCTTCTCTTTGACACATCTCTGGCTTCGGCACCGACACCATCCCCGCCAACTTCACCTCTCTCAACATCTCCCTCCGCAGCTCCGACTCCACCATGTCTGCGCTGTCGCACTATTTCCGTGAGAATTACTTCAACCCTAGCATGTTCTCCACCTCTATTGCTGCTACTGTCGCCGCCGCAGTGCAGTTGAGAAACGGCACGGAGTGGGACCGGAACATAAGCATTGTGATGGAAGATTCTCGTAGGAGCATGTTGGAGAACAGTTCTTCCATCTCCGCGATTTTGAATTTCAACCTTATGGGCAACTTGAATGTAATTCAACAAGCGAAGCAAGAGCTCCGGGAAGAATCCGGCGGCAGCGACAACGATCTTGAATCGGTGGCTTCGGATTCCGATGGAGGCTTAAGGAGAACAAAAATGAAAATGAAATGGGTAAGAAAATGAAGAAGATAAAACATATTTAAATAGGCTAGGGACTATTATTTAAAAAGTTATAAATTAATATGGGTTAAATAAAAAATATTAAAATATTTTTAAAAAATATAAGTTCTGACAAAATTAACACATATCATCATTTATGTGGTCATACTCCCGGATAATTTTAATATCCCTAAACAAAACTTGCACTTTATGGCTATTTCCAAGTTGGTACTTGTCCACTTTTATTAGAAAAGGCATAAGTTTTGATACATCCCAACCAGGGAAAGAATTGACAAATTTTAGAGTAATTCTTGTATGCGACAAAACACGTCACATTTTGCACACAACCACTAAAAATTGACAACTCATTAAAATTAAAAATAAAATCAAAAGCATGTCAGACTCTAAACTTTTGTCTCTCCCAACCCAACTGGTAAACTCCCAAAGGAAAAAATTAAATAAAAAAAAAATACCACCAGGGCACCATTACAGCTTCATATCCACCGTTGCCACATCCATGACTTGTCAGTCTCGTGCAGTTTCGGTTCAGAGTCTAGTTCAAGTACAACACCTGGGATTCTTTTGTGGAATCTTTTAACACCAATAGAAATTAATCTTGAAAATATATAATCTTTCACAAGAATTTAATTTCAATTTACACTATAAAAAATTTACACTGTTAATAATAAATCATTATTTAAATAACTTTTATAATGGTTATCATAAATATGATTACTTTTGCTTATGATTAAATGGTATTATAAAAGCTACTTTGACATGTATTATATTTTAATTAAAAATAAAAGGTACTTTAGAATTAAATTTAATATATAAATTTTGGACCGTTTTAAATTTTACCTTTTTAAAAAAGATTTTAAATATTTAATATAATATACTTATTTTTTTATTTATAATAAAAGTATATATTTTTATTTACAACTATTTAATATTTTCTTAAAAACAAATAATATAGGAATTCCCATGGAGTATAAATTTAAAACGAATAATATACATATCTACTATTTTACCTAATACATCTTTAACATATATTTATAATATATATATATGAGGGGGTTATAATTACACCGGTGTAACTTTTACCAAGTTTTACACCGCTTAATAATTTTATATTAAATGTGAATTTTGTAAATCTAATCGTTAGATTGAAAGTTCATATCACTTTATATATGTATATCAAATTTTGTTAAAATTGAACAATAATTTAAAGGTGATCAAACCATTCATATTTTAGTATATTTTGAAATGAATATATTACATCAATTTTATTTTATAAAAATGAAGTATCAAATCATCTTGAATTAATATAAAATTTTGTATATATGATTTAAGTGATATGAACTTTCAATCTAACGGTTGGGTTTACAAAATTCGCATTTAATATAAAGTTATTGAGCGGTGTAAAGTAAAAGTTACATCAGTATTATTATAACTCCCTTTACATATTGTATATATTTTTTAAACAATCCCACTCTTAAATTTTTAAATAATAATTTTTTTTTACATATTTAAAACTCAAACTCAAAATTTTAAAATATGAAACTAAATACAAAATCAATTGATTTAATAAATATTAATAATTTTAATTTTTTATTAAAGACATAAAATACCTCTATTGATATCTTATAAAATCTCAATAATTAATCAATGTGTATATTATTTGGAAGCTATTATATATATTTATTATAAAATAAATATTTTATTTTTATGTATATAATTTTTTAACTATATTACCTTTATATTATTATTTATTATAAAAGGATATCTTATTTATGTATATAATTTTTTAGACTATTTTATCTTTAAATTTTTATATAATAAAAAATAATATTAAAAGTTAACTAAATTTAGAACTTGAATTTAACATCTTAAAGTTTAAAAATTAAGCATATTAAATATAGAGAAACGGAACCTAATAGTATAAAAGAAAGTAATAGGAATCTTCCCCTTTGCTTGCCAAAAAGACTTTAATTTCTATTATTCGATTCAAGGATAAGCGTCGGTGCCTCGCCATGGATCTGCGTCACTGCTCGCGTAAGCACTTTTTCCTGCAATTTGTTTCGATGATTACTTTACAAAACTGTTTCATTGCTTTCACATATAAATTCAACCTTTTTTCATTTTATTATTATACTTTACCATATCGTAACGTATTCATTGACGAGGACGATTATATTTTACAATTCTGTTTATTAATTACGCGTTAAAGTCTAAACCACTGTTGTTATTTTAAGCCTCTTGTTTTGCTATTGCGTGTTCTGCAATCTATCGTTCGTAAATTCATTATCGAATCAATTTTGAAGGAGTAGCGCCGGAGATTCATAACAATGGCGGAAGAGATAAGCAAAAACGATGTCGGATTAACGTCCAAAACGAAAAGCTTCAGGTTATGGCCTCGTTGGATTCCCACTTCAGTGGATCATATCATCGCTGCCGAGAAGCGCCTTCTTTCCGTTGTCAAGTAAGTAATTTTAAATCCCTTTTTGTTAACCCTAAACTTCAGAGTTATTCGCCTCTTAAATTTTCGGGGATTGATTGCTATTTGCTATTAATATTAAATAGTAGTTTATACTCTGAATGAACTACTAGGTGGGTCTGGTGATAATGTGAACAGGTTCTTATGTTGCTATGCGTAAAAGAAAAGTTTATACTCTGAATTTTTATGTGCGATTGACTATTAATTTTCTATGGTTATGGCAGGACTGGTTATGTTCAAGAGCATGTTAATATAGGTTCTGGTCCTCCTGGCTCCAAAGTGACATGGTTCCGGTCATCCAGCAATGAGCCGCGGTTTATTAACACCGTTACCTTTGACAGTAAACCTGACTCTCCTACGCTTGTGATGATTCATGGTTATGCTGCTTCCCAAGGGTTCTTTTTTCGCAACTTTGATGTGCTTGCCTCTCGATTTAGAGTCATTGCTGTTGATCAACTTGGGTGAGTGAGTTATGCTTTTCTTCATCCTAATGTCCCCACTGTTCATTGTTGTTGACTTATTGTTTCAAAGTACTTTTCTGGTTTTGTGCTCCATTTTGTTCCTGGAAGAAGGAGTTAGGAGTGCTAGCAATACAGTCTTTGACACACTCTTTTTTGTTGGATAAAATTTATTGAAAATTTTAAAACCATGAGAGAATCATTAATTTAGATCTAGGACCCACAAAATTTAATGATTTCAACCAATAGAAGGAAGTGTGTTCAAAAGAGTGTTGGAGAATGTGTTCTTAGCATTTCTCCCTTGGAAAAATTAAGTGAATTAGATATAACATTTAAAGGGCGAGTACCTAATTGTCAAGCCTATTTGGGCTGGGACCTTTAATAGGTCTGCTGCATCTTCTACCCTGGGCTTTTTTTTAGTTTTTTTCTTTTGCCCTGCACGGATGATTGTGTCTTTTCCTCACTGCCTACTCCAAAACTTGTTTTGCAGATGGGGTGGATCAAGCAGACCTGATTTCACATGCAAAAGCACTGAAGGTTAATTAAGAATTACATTTAAGAATGCAATGTTGCAGTTGATCTGGAATTGGAATTGTAAAGTTATACTCTGTTGCTCAACTTAGAAGTCGTAACTGTGGCAACCTCTTATAAATCACAATTTGTTGTTGATCATGCAGAAACTGAGGCATGGTTCATTGATTCTTTTGAGGAATGGAGAAAAGCCAAAAACTTGAGCAATTTTATACTACTTGGACACTCTTTTGGTGGCTATGTTGCTTCTAAATATGCGCTCAAGGTGAATCTCTTCCCACATTGCACTAAAATACTAAATATTTTCACTTTATTTCCTCTTCTTGATCGTTCTGATGTCTATTGTAATCTTTTTAATATAGCACCCTGAGCACGTACAACACTTGATTTTGGTTGGGCCTGCTGGGTTTTCATCAGAATCAGATGCAAAGCCTGAGTGGTTTACCAAGTTTCGCTCAACATGGAAGGGAGCAGTTCTGAACCATCTATGGGAATCCAATTTTACACCTCAAAAAATTATCAGGTAAAACTTCTTGTCTCGTTTCTCTTTTCTCAAGTGTAAGTTAGTTCATCAGGTGAAACGTGCTTTGCAATGCTAGTATTGAGGGTTTGATGAAGGTTCATCGTAAAATATAGGTTTTTATTTATTTATTTATTGTTATTTCAGTTCTTGTGCCTGCCTCAATGTGTATCACATGCATAATATTAGTAGAGTTTTGTAGTATCTCAAACTTGTTGGCTTAAGAAAGTCTGTTTGACCAGTGCTTATCTGCATCTGATTATTGGACTGGCATTATTGCTGTGGTACCTAGATTCATATAGTCACCTAAAATCTTTTAATTTAAATAAGTTGACACTAAAATAAAAGGTTGCACTTGGTGATAATGTAATGCATTTCGTTATATGTTCAGGTTAATAATATTTCTCTGACTCACTTTCATATCTATTATAATTTTATGCCACTAAAGTAGACTAGTGCATTGACTTGTATTCACATGATCTATTCATTATTGAATGATGGGCTCTGTGTGTTATTGCTAAGTCTAAATCATGGATGGAATTGTTTTGGAAGAATTTTTATCTTCTATGTAATTTGGCATAACAGGGGGCTTGTTGCTTGAGTTGCAAACCATTTGCCATTGATAGCATTCAAATATAATATTTTCAATCCGAGCAATTTGCCATTTATAAATCAAGCAATATGGGTTAACTTAAATGCACTAGTTTTCTTTGCCACTTGGTTTACTTATGTCACATTTGGTACGGGAATTGATAACTATACAGAATAGGAATGGAATTGCAATGGAATGAAATTAATTTAAATGGAATGATCATTCCCTATGTACAATTTGTTTGCTTTTGGAATGGAATAACTTCCGAGCCATTCAATTATTTAGTCCTTGGAATCAATGCAGGATTGAATATCCAAATGACATAAATACCCTTACTAGAAAAAAGGGAAAG